ACCACTCCTATAGAAGCTCTAAAATCTGGTCTGACCACCAAGTTAAAAGCTCAGAGGGATGATGTTACAGGAATCAAAGTGCCAAAAGTTGGTTTCTTGAAGCCCTGCTTCAGACTTCCTTTTGTGCTGTCAGAAGATTTAGTTCTCCTACCAACTCATAAGAAATTGAATACTTACTCTGTTTGCACTGTGTACGGATAAACCTCCTCAGGACGTACTTTATAATCTTTTCTTAGAATAATTTGCTGAGTCAAAGACAGCACTCCACCAATAATAAGATCCCCATCTTTGTAGTAACCCTCTGCATAGGATCTCTTCAGTTGACAAAGAGATGTTGTTGCCTTCCCTGCCACACGAGGTAGAAGCAGTATGATGAAAACCAGGAAGAGCATGGCAAGAGCATCTCCAATGGCTGCAACTCAGATTTCATCTCCTCCTCAGTTGGATTCTCCTTTTCAGTGTTTTACTCCTGTCCGAGGCACCACAGTAATGACACATTGAGACCTAATTCACCTAATCCCTTCTGTGGAACCCAGATTTGAGTGGCACTGATGTGTTTATGAGATTCCCAATTGTTTTTTAAGGTGCTGATAGAATAAATTGCCCCAAGTGCATGGACAAAGGATGATTATACTCATTCCACCTGTCCCTTGGCAGATGCTAACTCCAGTGATTTCAATCTGAGCTGTTCCCTGCCTGGAGTTATTGATGCAAAATGGACAAACATGTTGGTGTTTTTTTGCTTTGCCACCTGATAGAAGTAACTGCATACTTTGTAATTCCTGAATCCCTGACTCCATGTGTCTCTAAGGCACCAGGCTTTAAGGGTTTTTTTGAGACTGGTCCTTCTGTTTCTTTATCGTGTTTTCAGGTCTTAATGAATAGATCCCTCACACTCTCCCTAACAAACAGAGTAACATACAGAATCTTTTGGAAAATGTGAATTTCCATAACCATCTGGGAAATGAGATTTATTTATTTATTTATTTATTTATTTATTTGCTGCATTTGTTGACCGCCGCTCTCAGCCCTAGGGCGACTCGCGGCGGTGTACAACATATAAAAACAGTTTACAAAAAAGCACAACACGAAATCACATATCAATAATATATACTAATCTAATCTAAATTACACTAACTAATCCGCATCGTCACAGCATAGAATCATAACCAATCTCATAGTCCATATTCCGTTCCAGTTGTCGCTTGCCAATTAATGTAGCACTCAATTAAATGCCTTCTCGAATAGCCAGGTCTTTAGGCTCTTCCGGAAGGCCATAAGGGAGGGCGCCTGCCTGATGTCAACAGGGAGGGCGTTCCACAGCCGGGGGGCCACCACCGAGAAGGCCCTCTCTCTCGTCCCCGCCAAACGTGCCTGTGAGGCAGGCGGGATCGAGAGAAGGGCCTCCCCAGACGATCTCAAGGCCCTCGTGGGCTCATAGGCCGAGATGCGGTCCGAAAGGTATTTTGGGCCGGAACCGTTTAGGGCTTTGTAGGATAACACCAGCACCTTGAATTGGGCCCGGTAGCAAATCGGCAGCCAGTGGAGCTGGGACAACAAGGGCGTTGTGTGCTCCCTGCGTCCCGCTCCCGTTAGTAACATGGCTGCCGCGCGCTGGACTAGCTGAAGCTTCCGGGCCGTCTTCAAGGGCAGCCCCACGTAGAGAGCGTTGCAGTAGTCAAGGCGGGATGTGACCAGAGCGTGTACCACCGTGGCCAAGTCAGACTTTCCAAGATATGGGCACAGCTGGCGCACAAGCCGAAGCTGTGCAAATGGAGAGCTCCCTGTCAGCCATCACCACCCCCAGCTCCTTCAAGGTCAATCCAGTCACTTCAACGATGAATCATAGAATCAAAGAGTTGGAAGAGACCTCATGGGCCATCCAGTCCAACCCCCTGCCAATAAGCAGGAATATTGCATTCAAATCACCCCTGACAGATGGCCATCCAGCCTCTGTTTAAAAGCTTCCAAAGAAGGAGCCTCCACCACACTGCGGGGCAGAGAGTTCCACTGCTGAACGGCTCTCACAGTCAGGAAGTTCTTCCTCATGTTCAGATGGAATCTCCTCTCTTGTAGTTTGAAGCCATTGTTCCGTCCTAGTCTCCAAGGAAGCAGAAAACAAGCTTGCTCCCTCCTCCCTGTGACTTCCTCTCACATATTTATACATGGCTATCATATCTCCTCTCAGTTTTCTCTTCTTCAGGCTAAACATGCCCAGCTCCTTAAGCCGCTCCTCATAGGGCTTGTTCTCCAGACCCTTGATCATTTTAGTCGCCCTCCTCTGGACACATCCCAGCTTGTCAATATCTCTCTTGAATTGTGGTGCCCAGAATTGGACACAATATTCCAGGTGTGGTCTAACCAAGGGAATAGAGGGGTAGCATTACTTCCCTAGATCTAGACACTATGCTCCTATTGATGCAGGCCAAAATCCCATTGGCTTTTTTTGCTGCCACATCACATTGTTGGCTCATGTTTAACTTGTTGTCCACGAGGGCTCCAAGATCTTTTTCACACGTACTGCTCTCGAGCCAGGCATTGTGCTGTTAAACTGTTGTACCTAGGTATGTCTTTGAACTGCCAGGGACAAAGACATGCCAATGCACAAAAAATTATATTCAGCAGAGTTTCAGAAGTGTTCCTTCCGTTGCCAAAAACATATACTCTCCCTTAAAATATATTTGCCTTTAAATTAACTTTTTTATTAAAGAAAAATTCAGGAAACCCGATCAGGCACACAGACTGGTCCAAATTTGAGGAATATGAAAAAAAGGACAATAAACAAAATATTAAAAGACACTACTTCTTTTCTTTTTGATGGAAAAACAAGAAGATAGATCTATTTTATTGAACATCTAATTCATTTATTTTTACTTTTTACCTTCAACACAGAACATTTTCACACAGATAAACATAAGCCACAAAGAACTAGAAGAAAGTCACCAGAAATCTTTTTTTGTAATTTTTTAATCTTTTTTTCTTTTTTTGCTTTTATTTTTCTCTTATTTTCCTACTTTTCTATCATATTATTGTTCTCCCACTTTACTTGTAGAAGGTACCTCTCCTTTTTTTCCTACTCCCCCCTTTCCTATATCCACATATCCCCATACCACCTTACCCACCCCCTTTTGTATTTCTAATAAAATAAAACATATATACAAAAAAAGAAGAATTCACAACCTTTTGAAACGTGATTTTCACCAGCATTCATGCAAGGAAACTAGGGCTCTCAGTTGTTAAACTGATGTACCTAGGTATGTCTTTGAACTGCCAGGGACAAAGACATGCCAATGCACAAAAACACATATTCAGCAAAGTTTCAGAAGATTTTCTGGACCATTTGAATTTTAAAATATTTTTTTAGGAACCAATTCCTGGTTAACAAGAACAACAATATATCTGATTTGTGTGATTGCAAGAAAAAAGATTGATTTTTTATTAAATTCAAAACTAGGAAAAGAATTTCTATCCATAAAAGTAACAAATTATTTTGTCAGTTTTGAACAGTCAATTAAGGGGCTTTTTTTCCATGTCAGGAGCGACTTGAGAAACTGCAAGTTGCTTCTGGTGTGAGAGAATTGGCCGACTGCAAGGACATTGCCCAGGGAATTCCTGGATGTTTTGATGTTTCTTGTAGGAGGCTTCTCTCATGTCCCCGCATGGGGACCTGGAGCTTACAGAGGGAGCTCATCTACATTCTCCCAGATTCAAACCTCCAATCTGTCAGTCTGTGGCCCTGCTGGCACAAGGGTTTAACCCGGTGATCCTCAAATTTTTAAAGCAGAGGGCCAGTTCACTGACCTTCACACTGTTGGAGGGCCGGACTATATTTTGAGAAAAACATGGACAAATTCCTATGCACACTGCAGATATATTGTATGTACTGCAAAAAACATGAGATGACAATACAGTATGTGAAATGATGAACAATTTTTACCAACATAAAAGTACATTATTGGGAATGGTGGGCTTGCTTTTGGCTGATAAGATAGTCAAGTTAATTCAGATTGTTGTTGTTGTTGTTGTTGTTGTTATGTGACTTGAAGTTGTTTCAGACTTAGGTTGACCTTAAGTCTAAAGTTTAGACCAGGGGCCGCCCAGTTTACCTGTCCGAACGCATCTCTCCCTATGAACTATCTAGGCGCTTAAGATCGTCTGGAAAGACCCTGCTCGCAGTCCCGCCCCCTTTGCAGATGCGATTGGCGGGAATGAAAGACAGGGCCTTCTCAGCAGTGGCCCCTCAGCTATGGAACACCCCCTCCCTCCTAACATTTTGAAAGAGAGTCAAAACCTGCCTGTTTGAGCAGGCATTTGCAGTCATGGTGTAACAGACTAATTGAGATCCACGGAATGATTGGACGATGGGACGGAAAAAGACTTTAGTGATGAGACGCTGAGGACTTGTGTTTTATGGCTTTTATTGGTTTATTGTTATTATAAGGTTTATTTTATATGTAATGTTTTAAACTGTATTTTATGTTGTTTGGGGGCATTTACTGCCAACTGTAAAGCACCTCGAGTCACCTTCGGGCTGAGAGGGGTGGTATGTAAATATGGTAAATAAATAAATAAATAACCTTGGAGGGCCACATCTGGCCCACAGGCCTTAGTTTGAGAACCCCTGGTTTAACCCATTGCACCACCGGGGGCTCCTAGTCAATGAAATGAGAGTGGGAAAGGGAAAATGAGATATCATGACCTATCATGTCAATGTTTTGCTCCCACGTTGAGCTGCAGTGAGAAACAGTTATGATATTTCATTCACTTATAGCAGGAGATCCATATTTTAATTCAATTAAATGTACAGAAGAAGTCTCAACAGCAATAAAACACTGAAACACATTTTGAAGAATTTGAAAAAAATACAGAGAACATTTTAAAAGCTTCACCACCATAACTGTCAAGATTTGAATGTAACTTAACAATTCACATTATTTGAACCTCCTTCCCCACTTGAACTTCATTACTAAATCAGAATGTTTCAGATCCATTTCTCTTTATTATTTGTGGAAATATTTGCTAGTTATTTGCACTTTTTGGTTCCTATCTAGATGCAGTAGAATGACATAAGACTTAGGTAGAAAGATGCAGCCAAGCAACCCAACTCCAGAGGTCAAAATAGAGAAGATCTCCACAGCCACCATATATTTCCCCTTAGTGCTGAGGTACGTTGGGATGAAGGCCATCCAGACAGTGCAGAAAACCAACATGCTGAAAGTGATGAACTTGGCTTCATTGAACCTGTCAGGGAGCTTCCTGGCAAGGAAAGCCACAATGAAGCTCACCAAAGCCAAGAGGCCCATGTAGCCCAGAATGGAGTAGAGTGCAGCGGGTGAGCTCTCATTGCACTCCAGGATGATTTGTCCAAGCTCTGAATAGAAATCAGCATCTGGGAATGGAGGGGAGGTTCCCAGCCAGACCATGCAAATGACAGTCTGAATAAGAGAACAGACCATTATAAAGAAATATGAAAGTCTAGGTCTCAGCCATTTCCGTGTACCGCTGCCTGGTTTTGTGGCCTTGAAGGCCAGAACCACGGTAATGGTTTTGGCCAAGATGGTAGCAAGAGAGACAGAGAAAATGATCCCAAAGGCTGTCTGACGAAGAAGGCAGGTCATTTTCCTTGGTTGACCAATGAAGAGCAAAGAACAGAGGAAACACAGCATGAGGGAAGAGAGGAGGATATAGCTGAGATGTCGATTGTTGGCTTTGACTATGGCAGAATCCCTGTGCTTAATGAACATTGCAAGTACCAGGGCAGAAAGGAGGAAGGAATATAGAGCAATAGACACTGAAACTATTCCCAAAGGTTCTGTGTAGGATAGAAAAGTGATGCTTTTGAGTATACACTTATTTCTTGCTTTGTTTGGATAGAAGTCCTCTTTGCACTTCATACAGAAATCCATATCTAAAAGAAACAAATCAGATAACATTTGACCCAGGCCTGTAGCCAGGATCTTTTGCATCATTATCCCAATACCCGCATGCATATGGGATAAATTGATCATGGTGATCAGATCATGATATGAATAAACATAACGGTTTAAATAATGTACCAGTAAGGCATTTTCGCGGACCACCCTGAGAATGGGAGGGGGGGCTGAAGACCCTCCCTCCCGGCTACATGCCTGTTTGACCTTTTGTCTTTGCACATTTCCCTTGGCTGAGATATTCACAATCACATATCACATCTATGTATGAAACAGTGTCATGTCTTCTTTGTAATGTTAGCCTGTGGGAATTGTAATAATAACAATAATAATAACTATTTTTGTATCCCACCACCATCCCCCTGAAGGGACTCGGGGCGGCTTACATGGGGACCAAGTCCAATTGTAACACTCTCTGGCAATGCCTACCTGACTGGTTGGATATTGCTCCTTTAGGGCATTCAGTACACTGGAAGCAACACTTGGGGTTGGCCTTCAAAGGCATCTTGTGGAATCCAGGTAAGCATTTATTGCTGCACACAGAATGAGGTGGCTATACAGATTCAATATTAACAAGTTATCAAAAATATATAAACAATGCTTTTCATCCTTAACATGTTTAAAAGCAATGCTTTTGGGTTTAGAAAGATTAGCCGTTTACAAGAAACGGGGATGCCCTACTGTATTTACTCAATCTTCAAGGTGGCTCTTTCCGTGTCCCCCAGAAAGAGCCTCCTCTTCAGCTACTAGAAAGATAACCAACTGAAGCCTAGCCTTGCCAAGACACAAGGGTGTGCTTTCCACCTATGGAACCTTGAAAGTTACCTGGGAAAGTCAAGAGACATTGTTACCATCGTAAATATCTTGGTGTCACCTTAGATCAAGCATGAACATTTAGGGAACACTGCATGAACACCAAGCACAATAACCAGATAACAATTACCAGATAACCCAGTATTGTGAATGAATATGGAATGGCTTAATGATGCAAATGGACATGGATTTTAACCCGAAAATCATTGATTTTTTTTAGTTTTAAACTGTTTTATTGGGTTGTTGAAGGTTTTTCAGGCTATATGGCCATGTTCTAGAACATGGCCATATAGTCTGAAAAACCTACAACAACCCAGTGATTCCGGCCATGAAAGCCTTCGACAATACATTGTTTTATTATGAATTTTATTATGTGATTTAACCTGTTTTAAATGATGTATTTATGTGTGTTTGGCATCTAATATTGCCAGTCTGTTTGCCGCCCTGAGTCGTCTTCGGGCTGAAAAGGGCGAGATAAAAGTGTAGTAAATAAATAACATCCTGTGGAAACTTACTGGCAGCACATAGGAAGCGGAACCAAAATTAATAAGAACATCACCCTGGCCTGGTCTTGCTCAAATGCTAAGTATGGCTGCCTTGTTTGACACAAGTCTGTCCAGACGAGCAGGTGAACATAGCACTGAACAAAACATGCAGAATAAAAACAGGATGTCTCAAACCTACACCTGTTGATAGACTCTACAATCTAGCTGGCATTGTCCCCCACCTCTGATGGGAAGTTGCTGCTAACTGTGAGAGAAATAAGGTTGAACACTGTGAAAGCCATCCACTGCATGGCTATCAGCCTCTTCCCAGTAGACTCAAATCAAGGAAATGCTTCATAAGAACCACCACTCCTCTTAACGTACTCCCAGCAACAGCAAGAGCATCCCTCTGGGCAGCTAAACCAAGAAATCCCAATTGGATGGCTCCTCGCAAGGGTCTGTCTCCAAGGGCAAACCAAGAATGAGCAAATTGGAAGTTCCTGAACAGACTCAGAAGTATAGTGGGCAGATCAAAAAACAACCTGGCAAAATGGCACTACCTAGAAGAATCCTCCACTTTGTGCGGCTATGGGGCAGAACAAACAACCCCACACCTGAATGGTTGTCCACAATCCCCTGCCTCATGTACAAAGGAAGAATTGTTTAAAGTTACAGATAATGCGGTTGCTGTTGCCCAGTTTTGGTCAAAAATTATTTAATCACTTGTGCTCCTTCTATTTTTATCAGTTTTATACTTCTGTCTCCTGTTGCGCAATATGAATAAAACTTGTGCTTGCCTGCTAAAAACTGTTCGGACTCCTGCCTTGGATTCATAGGGAACTTGTAAGATCCCGGGGAAAATATTGGGATTGGGAATTGCTCCCATAACACTTCTGTATGCAATGATTTTGACACAAAATAAATAAATCTTTAACATTAAAACTGCTCCCGGACCAACACTTTTTTTCTGAGTGGTTTTGATAAGAGAATTTCTTATGAAGGCACAATAGAGAAGCCCTTTTTATCGCATTTGCAATTTGGAATTCCTTCTTTAGCTATACATTTTGGCTACCACTGCTGTATACTGTACTTTCAAGTGTCAACTCAAAATATTTTATTTCCTAGAGAAATTTAACTTATTTGTATCACCACATTGTGTGTCCTGCTGGTAGAGGATTTTAAAATCCAATAATGTTTATATATTTGTGTATCTAATATTATTTTAATCACTTTAACATTGTTCCCCACTCTTAGACCCATATTTTTTTTTTTTTGGGTGAATGACATTACATTGTAATTTTAAAATAACCTCCTTCCTCAAAGTCTAACGGAGATTTTCTTGGAAACATCTCACCTGGATGAATTTGCCATTCCATAAAGTCATATTTTCATTAATGGTGATACTATAGTTTTTTGTGGAATGGAGAGTGACTTCCCCAACGTTCACACTGACCAAGGAGCCATTATCAAGCTGGATCCAATTTAAAATATCATACATTGCCAATTCTCCAGTCCCATTTAAAAAGGCATCCTCAACAGCACTGTTGTTGAAATGTGTTTTCTTAAGGACACTGTGGAGCTGAATACAACAGAGAATATGAGAGCACGCTGTAATGACTAAACTGTGGCAAAACGAAAATCATGCATAGTTCACATCTTTAGCAATCCGCACACTGTCTTGCTAGAGAAAAGATATGCCATGCAGATGATCAGTAAAGAGTAAGGTGTTTACTCTTTGTTATGCAGAGCAACATATATACAGTCATGAGAACAGTTGCTTTGACTCATACAATATCCTTTGAGAGAGATTCAAATGGTCCTTAGGTGTCCAAGGATCTTCTTTCAGCAGCCAAAAAGCAAAAATACAAACTGTCTTGGCAAGCTCCTGCACAGAAAACTTACTATGTAACTGTTGCCAAAACTCCCAGGCTCAGCTAGCTTCTCATGGCCCAACCAGCCAGCTTTGAGCTTTGCATTTTTCAGTTAACACACTCGCCAACTGATTTTTACATGCTCCAACATAAGCCATCATCAACTTTTGGTTGGAAGAAAGCTCTTAGGTTCTCAAATCCCACATCTTTCTGGATGAAGAGATCCTTCTAGAGTTTCACTGTCTGGTAGCCGCCCAGAACCGTTTTGAAGACATCCAGGAGAAGAGAACCAAGCATCTCTCTAGTCAATTGGCTCCATTGTGGAACTGCTCTTACCACCAATATGTTCCTTCTAAACTTCAATCAAAATATACTTTTGTGTAACTAAAAATCTTTATACCTTCTCTTAACCATTGGAGCAGCAGAGAATGTATGCCCTCCTTTCTGTGACTGTTTTGTAGATATTTAAAGAATTCAGTCATGCCACCCTTGTTGAAATAACCAAAACAGAGTTTTTGGTTGAAGACTTAGAGCAGTGTTTTTCAACCTGGGGGTTGGGACCCCTGGGGCGGGGGTCGTGAGGGGGTTTCAGAGGGGTCGCCAAGACCATCAGAAAACACATATTTCTGATGGTCTTAGGAACCCCTTTGGCAGAGAAGGCTGAAGATCTCTCCATCTGTCCTTCTCTTCCTTTTTGGAAACAGACGGCAAATCCTCCGATCAGAATGCTCTTTGATTGTAGGTGAACTATAAATCCCAGCAACTACAAGTCCCAAATGTCAAGGTCTATTTTCCCCAAACTCCACCAGTGTTCACATTTGGGCATATTGAGTATTCATGCCAAGTTTGGTCCAGATCCATCATTGTTTGAGTCCACAGTGCTCTCTGGATGTAGGTGAACTACAACTCCCAAACTCAAGGTGCCCACCAAACCCTTCCAGTATTTTCTGTTGGTCATGGGAGTTCTGTGTGCCAAGTTTGGTTCAGTTCCATTGTTGATGGAGATCAGAATGCTCTTTGATTGTAGGTGAACTATAAATCCCAGCAACTACAACTCCCAAATGTCAAAATCAATCCCCCTCCAACCCCACCAGTGTTCAAATGTGGAGGTATATCAGATATTTACATTATGATTTCTAATAGTAGCAAAATTAAAGTTATGAAGTAGCAATGAAAATAATTTTATGGTTGGGGGTTATGGTTTATCATGGTTTGGAAGAATAGCATTAGTAAAAATGAAAATACTTCCAAAAATAAATTTTATATTTAGGATGCTACCACTTCAAATTACAGAAGAAGAACTAACTAGATGGCAACAAATGATTAATAAGTACTGTAATGGAAGTAAAAGGAACAGACTAAATAAACAATTATGGTATAGATCGCAAAAGGAGGGTGGACTGGCGTTACCTAATATA